TTGTTTCTTAAAGAGATTCATGTCTACAAATTATTTAACACTTGCATGCATCATAATATGCTTGGTGTTTGTGTGATTTTATACCAAATAACTTAATTTTGGGTGGAATTCTCCTTTGTGGACCTGGCTCATTCGTCTTCTTAGCAGATCTTTGGATCTCTGGGTCGAATTTTGATAATGGGTGCTAAACTCGGCATCATCAGACACACTGTATTTTTGTAATAGAATTCCTTCATAGAAATTAAAAGGAAGGTACAATATGTAGTCATGGGTTAACTCCATGTATATTGGTAATTTGGTTTGGTATAAAATTTCTTAAACATGCACATGTCAAACTATATTTTGGGGGTTATCGACGTAGTCGGTGATAAAAATACTCTCTAGACACAGTAGAAATATTTCGCTAAAGATTAAAGAAAATGATAGGGTTGACAAATATGATCGGATTATACAATTTGACAAAAAAAAAAAGAAACACTTGCTCATCAGTCATTAATTACCCTGAAGAAAAATTGTAGCACAACAGATTGCAAGATGAGGAAATGTATGAGAAAATTCAAACTAGCTAGTGTTTCATGAAGGTCTCAACTAATTATATCATTAATGCTCTTTTTATTTTTCTTGCTCCTATAAATAAACTTAGTAAACTGTAGTGAAGAAAGAACAAAACACTTTTGAAAAATAAAAGTTAGAAGAAACAAAAATGGGGAAATTAGTCGCTAAACGATTAGGGTTTTTGGGTTTGATGCTTGTGGTGCTCATCATTGGAGTTGCGGAATGTAGGAGACTTGAGAAAGAGACTTTGGGAGGCGGTGGTTTAGGAGGAGGAGCCGGTGGTGGAGGAGGATTTGGTGGTGGTGCTGGTGGAGGTCACGGTGGTGGTCTAGGCGGAGGCCATGGCGGTGGTGCTGGTGGAGGCAAAGGTGGTGGAGGAGGATTCGGCGGTGGTGCTGGTGGAGGAGGAGGTCACGGTGGTGGTGCTGGAGGCGGATTAGGCGGTGGAGCTGGAGGAGGCCATGGTGGAGGTGCCGGAGGAGGTTTCGGCGGTGGTGCTGGAGGGGGTCACGGTGGTGGTGCTGGAGGAGGATTTGGTGGTGGTGCAGGTGGAGGAGGAGGCCATGGTGGAGGTGCCGGAGGAGGTCACGGTGGTGGTGCTGGAGGAGGATTTGGTGGTGGAGCTGGAGGGGGAGGAGGCCACGGTGGTGGAGCCGGTGGAGGATTTGGTGGGGGAGCTGGAGGGGGAGGAGGCCACGGTGGTGGAGCCGGTGGAGGATTTGGTGGGGGAGCTGGAGGAGGTGGAGGTCATGGTGGAGGTTTTGGTGGGGGTGCTGGTGGAGGCTTTGGAGGCGGTGCAGGTGGAGGAGGAGGCCGTGGTGGTGGTTTCGGCGGTGGTGCTAGTGGCCACCACGAGGGAGGCGTTGGCGGTGGATTTTGAATTTAGCTCTTTTGGGTTATTTACTTGAGAACCAAGCCAGACATAAAAAAACGAACCGATTGTATTTCCTATGGATCTTATTATCAATGAAATAAATGATAACTACTATTTT